ACATATTTTAGGAGGAGATGTTGAGATGATTCTGAAGTCACATTAGAATAGCTTTTTTGGCTACTGTGATCAATTACATGCATTGTCACAACAACAAAAATTGACACGTTGATACCTGTGTAATACACACTAATTTTTTTAATTATTAAAACACTCAAATGAACCCACCCAACCAATTAATTACAAGAAAAACGAATACCTTTTAATCTAAGAGTTAAATTATTTGACATCAAAGACACCAAGATCTTTTTACTCTACAACAATATTAAAAATAATGAAAAGTCCCTTCATTTTCTGGTTAGTTTTATTTTATTTTGAGAGTAAAAATATTATTTTATCATATGTTTGTGATTGAAAATATAAAACTATCCCTAGGTATAAATTCAAAAATTGATTTCTTTTAAGGATAGTGTTGTAAATTCACTATACAACCCTGAAATTTTTATTTAAGGCCAAGAAAGAAAAAATATTGTTCGTGTTTACAATAAATTTACCCACAAACACACGATATAAAACTTTTAAAATTTATTAAAATTCTTTGAATTGCGTGTTCAATGTTGTTTTCAATCAAAGAAAATAAATAGTCTTCACTTTTTTAAAGAATTCATTCCAAAAACGACATCTTCAAATTCTTTTAAAAAGTGAAGACTATTTTTTACACCGTGCATGCAGTTTACTGCGAATGATGCTCTCCCCATGTATCGTACTGAGGCAGCCGCACCCATTTGACATCAAACATAGAGTTTTCACTATTCACGAAGGCCCGCAGCTCATAGCCCATCTCAGTTCTCAGCTTTGCTTCAAACATTTTGAGCCCACTACTTTTAAGCTTCATTATTATTTTTTAATTTTTTATGTGTTTATTTATTATTAAAAAAATAAATAAAAAGTATTTTTCAGTTGAAAAAATTTATTTATTTTTTAAAAAAAACTTTTCTTTTATTTTGGATGGAAACACTTTTCAAAAAGTTATGAAAAATTTAGAAATGTTATATTATCGGCTAATTATATCAAATTTGGTTCTCAAACTTTTGATTGTTATATGTATTTTATTTTTAATATTTTTTTTTAATTTTATTCTGTAAAATTTAATTTTTATATTAATTTTGGTCCTTATTTTTATCATTTTTATTTGTTTTTTCTTATTATTTTTTAATTGAAATTTTTTATATATCAAATTTGGTCCTCATTCTTTTAATTATTACTTATTTTATTTGAAATAATTTATGAAATGGTAATTATTATTATTTGAATTTCTTCATCTTTTAATTTTTTTATTTGTTAGATTTGATCTTTATTATTTTAATTATTATTTATTTTATTTGAAATAATTTATGAAATTATATTTTTTTTTCTTAATTTCATTCTCATTTAAATTTTTAATTTGTCAAAAAAATTTCTCATTATTTTAATAAAATTAAAAAAATAAAATATTAACAAATTATTTTTCAGCTCTTTTTTCATGAGATGATCAATTATTGAAAAGTGTTTTTCAATTTATTTTTTATTATACTACTAAATATTAAAAAATAATTTATTTTTTAAAAAATTATTTTTAAAAAACCCTATTTTTCAATAAACAAACGGACCTTATTTATATAATATTCATGGATGCATTCACGGATGAACAACCACTTTTAAAAGTAAAATTATCATGAGAAGTCCGGAGGTTTTCATCGCACACTTAATGGAATATTAAATTGACCATGGGTAAATTTTTAATAATTATTCTCTTAATCACTGGGGGTTGGGTTGGAAAATCAATGGACATATGCAATTCTAAAGCCTCTCAATTTAAAAAATAAACATTTTTTCTAGGAAAACATTTTCCTATATAAAAGGAATAAACTTTCCACTAAATTCACTTTTCATGAAATAAATACTTTCCGATAAATAAATAGACCATAGTTAAAAAAAATAAAAAGTATCCCAATTCTTAGTGCTAATCTCCTCTCCAATATTAAAACGGGCTGGACTAAGGAAGCAAGTCCAACTACCCTGGGCCATCGCATTAACAAGAAAAGGCTACACCCAACTGAATATCGGCCCAAAGTAGAAGTCCGCAGTCCCTCCTTTTATTACTACTTTTAATTTTATGATGCCAAGCATTCAAGCAGAGCAGAGTAAGTCTGGGGGCGTCGTCAAGTGAATAACGAGACCAAAACATCTCTCAAAACAAACAGCACTGATACAAGTCAATGGTAGAAGATCAATTGCTTTTATTATTTTTTTATTTTAATAGCTGAGAATTGGATTGATTTACGTAGTTGTTCTGCTTCTTGATTTTTTTTTTCTTATTGAATTGAAGGGTTCAAAGGCAGCAGCAATATCGAGTCCAGTCCCGGTGGCATGGTACCCAACCCTAGCAGTCTTCATGCTGGCCATCGGCCTTATTGTCACTGCTTCCTTCTTCATGTAAGCTAAGCTATGCTGAAATGAATTGTTGCTGGAATTATTGTTGTGCTTTTGCTTCATTAGCAGTTCCTTTCCTCCACTAGATCAGATCTACATGTGATGTAATTTGCCCAAAAAAATTCAATTACCAGTCAAGGTGATTTGTGATTTTAATTTAGGGCTTTTTTGTATTTGTTTTTCATAGAATGTTTCTGGAAACCACTTTCTAGATTTTCCCACGTTGAATTTTAGGAAAGTTAGTCAATGGAAATGGTTACTAGTCACAGCTTAAAAATTAAGGCTTTTTGTTATTATTAGGAAAACGTTTTCCTCCATGGAACTTTTCGGCAAGCAAACAAACGAGGCCTTAATTTGATTTGTTTCTCACATTTTAATCTTCTATTTATGTTTTCCATGAGGTAATACCACCAAAAGTTGCTTCAGATTAATTATTACAAACATCATCGGCATACTTAATATACTGTAATAATAAAGATTAACACTCTATGGAGCAGGCATTTCGTTTTCTTTTCTAGAACAAAGAGTTTTATTTAAATTTAAACATGTAGATGAATTATGAAAAGATCTGCTATTTTGTTTAATCATGTTGTTGATGAACCATGAAAAGATCTGTTTGTGTAACAGCACGTGCCATCTCGTTTCTGATGTTATACAAGCGTGGTTTGTTTGTGCAGTTATGAAGCAACCTCTTCTAGGAGAAATCGCAGTTTGGCAAAGGAGCTTACAACAGGAGCAATTGCCTCTTTATTTCTGGTATGATTTGTTATGCTTGTTACTCCCCCATCACCTTCTGATTTGTTATTGTTAATTCTGGTTCATTGCTCAATCTGATCTCTGATGTCGCTGGTGCAGGGCTTTGGGTCCTTGTTCCTGTTACTTGCTTCTGGTGTTTATGTCTAAGTTGGTCAATTTTGAACCAAAATTATGTCAAGCAGGATTGGCTGCATATGATGAGATGTTTAATTCTGCCAATTTAGTTGAGAACTTGGTGATCAATGATTTATGGACTATGATGTTACATCATTAATCTTTTTGAGTGATTTATGAATTCAGGAGGCTGTCCTCTTCATTTTTGCTGTGCTAATTTTCAAGGTTGCTACTACTCATCTGCTAGGATGCTCTAAGCTTCCCTTTCCTCTTCCCCATTTAAGATCCCTAGGCAGAGCCTTGACCAATTAGTGGAGACTTGAAACTTTACAATTGATAACCAGCCGTTTAATTAAGGATAGAGAGAATAACGTGTATTACTGCTTTGTATTAGAGGGATGGATGGCAGCTTGTTATTTATCATTAGTTTTTAGTTGCTCACATCTTTTCCACCGTGTGTTTGAGAGATGGATGACAAGCTCATGATTTATCAAATCAGATGGAACTGTTTGGGTTTACAAGTTCCCCTTCCCGTGAACTTCAGTTTTCAAAAAATGGAGATGAGACGTTACATCTTCTATATAATCAAGGAGATCTAACATGCTCCATTTAAATTAATGCACAGAGAAACCCTACAGTAGTGAACTTTTAGTTTCCAAAGCATTTATTTCTAAGTTAAATAAAGTATGCCTAGATCATAAGAACCTTATATTATCATATTAATGGTACATCTCACAAATCAAAACACAAACATGCCTCCCAATTAAAATATGAATTGAAAACACCGAGGGTTGATTTTCTTAGGATTCAAGGGCATTCCCACACCAAATATTCTCCCTAACATTCTCTCATGGATTTCGTAATCAAAACAACAAAGCTTCATACTTAAAAGATATCATGTTAACATGAGCTCTGATTGTATTAATTTTTAAATAATAGCCTGAAAAATCTCATATACTAAATGTTGAGATTGAGATATGTTTTCTGTTGTATACAATCATACAATGTATCAATGGAAAAACTAAGTCTTTAAAGCTTATTGATCTGATCTAACATGGTATCAAAGCTGAAATCTTGCTGTAAATCTTAAAAAAAATCCCAGACCATTTTGTAATGAAAATCGGACACACCAGAAATCCTAGATAATATCACTTAAAAATAGACCAAATCCTTCCTCAAATACAAACTTAAATACCAGACTACTTTACTACCTAGATTGGTATTAAACTAGAAAATATCATCTATGCTTTATGGTCTCAAATTAAGGAGATGTACACATCCGGAAAAGACAAACTAGGTTATATCATTAAGGATTTACCCCAACCAGCACCTACAAACCCAATTTGTAGACGATGGAGAGCCGAAAACTCCATTATTAAGAGTTGGTTTATCAATTCCATGAAACATCTTCTGATTGGAATACAAATTCATAAATAAAATGGAATCTCACGGGTCATTATTAAACCTGACCCATACCAAATCTCCAAGAAAATCTAGTTTGTTATGCGTCTTCATTAGACACCGTGAAAAAACAATTTGTATCACATCAATATATATTTTCGATTGAATTTTATATTGTTTTTCTTTCTTACTGTCTTATGAAAAATTGCTTTTAAAATCAAATTTTTAGTGTATGTCTTGAAATCGAATGATGTGAAAATTTTATTTAAAAAGTCAAAACGATAACTATCTATACTTGTGGAAGAAATTGAAGGTTAGGTGATTAAAAAAAAAACCCTTTTGAAAGACCTTGATAAAATCCATAAATTTAGGGGGTAAAATGAAAGTTATCCTTCTTTTTCCCCTTGCACAACCAAACGAGAGAGAACGGAAAACAAAGAAAGAAAGACAAAAAGGAAGGAAGAAAATAGCTATCTTTGAGGAAGCGAATCAATGGAGGATTATGAGAAGGCCGCAACAGTAATGTGTACAGTGATAGGCATGGACTACGCCAACAGTCTCTCTTACAGAGCCTGCTCACTCTGCGAGAGAACTCTTCCTGATACTCTCAATGCCCTTTGCAAATTCTGCCACAACAATACCGCCGCCTCCTCTTCCAAGCGCCTATTTCGTGTCCTTGTAAGTTTCTACCACCCCACCATTTAGTTTGCCAAAAGTTTCATAATGGAATAAAGGGTCACTAGAGTCTGTTTATGATTTCTGTTTTCTGGGCAGGTTTCCATAGCCACGGATACCAAGGTGCTTAATGTCATGTGCTTTGATAGGGCTGCTACAGTCTTGTTTGGCTGCTCTGCTGATGACTTCTTTCACTTTTCCAAGCTTCACCCTTTCGCTGGTAAAAGAAAAAAAAAGAAAAGAAAAATTTCTTGTTATTTTTATCTTCTTTTTTTAATGCAAATTCCAATGATGGGATGTATGCCTGGCTTTATGCAGCTTCCAATGCTGCTAAAATTTTGGAAGGAGAGATGTTTAGAATGACTTTGTCCAAACCAAAGAATGGTAATGCACAACACTTGCGAGCTGTCTCTATTGTACCTTTGAGGTCTGGTTTCAAGCCAGCAATTGAATCATTGAAGGAATTCTATGGGGTAAAACCAGCAACTTCTTGATTCTTTTATCCATTCATCATTGGATTGACAATGCCATCTGTTTTAGCCAAATTTTCCTTAAAAGAGTAGTTTGTGGCAAGGAGGTCTTGTGGGTTGGATACTGGTTTAAAATGATAATTTGTTTTGCTTCTGAGTTCTGTTTACGACACTTGAGAAATCAAAGGCACCGAGGCTCCTTTCTACTGAAGAAAATAATTGCTCATTGGTAGTGGCAAATTGGCTGCGGGGTGTGTATCAAGAGACACTACAGTCTTAAGCTATGCATTCCAGGTCTTAAGCATTCAAGGATATCTTTTTAGGGTATCAATTGTTTGAGTAATAAACTGGGTAGAGCTCAGCCTAACTTACTTGAAATCGTCATTCTCTGGGAGAAGTGTCTGCCGATTACCTATGTAACAGACTATATTTCTCTTTACATACAGTAATGCTTATATTTCCCGGTCTTGTATATCATAAATGGGTGATATCAATGCTGTCAAGTTGTTCAAATTGGTTTCTTTTAAATTGGTTTTGATTTGATTTGATTCATGGTCTACAAATGATTACCAGTACCAAACCCATTGAGCTCACACTGAAGACATATAAATGAAAATTGTATCTGTCTTTTATTTTGTATCTGTTCTGGAGTTGAGAACACGAATATTGAGATTAGCAGAATCTATCATTGGAGACATGCACAAAACATCATTGCTGAAAACCATGGGTGTGAGACAATGCTTGAGAATGCCAAGACAGTGGAGGCAAATTACTGGGGAGCAAGCCAATCTTTAGTGCCAGTCACGGCAAGCTTTCCTTGCATCCAGCTCTTCAGCATTTGTAATGCAGCTTTTGGCTGATCCATTGGAACCATGTGACCAGCATTGTGAACCTGGTAGTTGTAGGTGATCAAAGTTTCTTGAGTAAGAATTAAATATCATCACATCGTACACAGAAACAACAGACAAAAACAACGGGGGAGAGAATGACCTTTAGGAAACTGAGAGGACCGTGACTTTTCAGCTGTCCTGCTTCTCTGCCTTCAACAATGAATGGAACTGTTGGAGCTGCTCCGAAGTCTTTCTGGCCAGACCATGCCAAACCATTTACCCACCTTGAATTTCCTGGCAAAATACAAGCATGATACTGCTGTCACTGATCAAAAACAGGGCTAATTAGTTTGTTATACCATGTAGACTTACCCAGCCAGTTGCATATCAAATCCTCCTCTCCAGCATAAATAAGCACCTTGATACCATCCTCTAGGAGAGCAGGAACTCCTACTGCAAGATTTCTCATCCAGTCCCTTGTCATTGCATCATACACCACGCTGCTGCAGGAAACAAATTCAATATCTCCTACGCCTAGAGCATCCCTTACTGTTTTCTGGTTCAGGAATGTTTCCATGTTCGAGAAATCGTAGCATAGACTGCCCTCGCATGTCTTTCTAATATCATAGTACTGCAGACAACAGAGTTCACAAACTCACATTTACATCAAAAATGCTTTCGTGTTCCCTTGATCCATCATTAGTGTTGCTAGGTTGTTTGTTTAGAGAAAAAAAGATGTATAGTGGAGGTTGTGCTTCCTTACGTTTATATTGCCAGCAACTTGCAAGATGCTCTGAAATATGTTGTTGCAGACGTCAAATGCATCCTCACAAGTAGATACACCATCAGTTCCTGGAAAGGGACTTTTCAGTTCGATATATAATAAAACCAAGTACTGGTAATTCGGGTGCCACTTCGGTTTGTTAAACCACTACTAGGTGAAATGAAGCCGAAGTAAGAAAAGATACCACAAACTTTGATTGCTCGTTCGCAGCCTGGGATCATCTCGTTAATGCTATCGTAATCAGGTTTTTCGATTAACTTGTTGTCCAAAGCATAATCAGTGTATGCTTTATACTGAACGTCAGGTTGGGTTAGACCATTGCCAATGGCAAAACCCTATCAAACAAGTTTTAGCGGTTAGAAACAGTAGAAACCAATTCAGCAGTTATGAAACAGCTATAAAACAAGCAAGATTTGAGGGCATTGGGTGCATACCTTGAGGTTTATATGAATTCCTTCTTTCTTTTTGTTTCCTTGGTGAACCCGAGAAGCTAATGCTGGAATGTAGTGCCCAGCATAAGATTCTCCAGTTATGTAAAAATCATTTTTCGTCAACTGAGGATGCTCTTTGAAAAATGCCTACAGAATCAGAGAGAGAGAGAGAGAGAGAGATCGTGTGAATATCAAATCATTAACGTGAAACTTCATATGTTGACAAATAATGAAACGAAAAGGAGGACCGTAGATGAAAGTAATCTGACCTGCAAGAAGTCATACAAGTCATTGCTGACTCCAGTTTCGTCGTGGCGAATGTCAGTCTCCTCTGTCGTATAACTGAAGCCAGTTCCAGTAGGCTGGTCAACGAATATAATATTTGATGCCTGCCAAAGATCAATGGTTACAGAAAACTTGTTTATGCTGGAGGCATAATTATCATGTACCAGAGGAAATTTGAAATCGACGTCATCAGAAAAGTAAAAGCAGCTGCAATTACCTTGTCCCAACCGTAGTCATTCCATGAAAGAGACAGGTTGTTAGCAATATTGAAAGGACCATTTTCATAAAACAATGCCAATTCACTGCTACATCCTGGCCCTCCTGTCAACCATATGACAACAGGATCATTCTTGTTAGTCCGCGATTCGAAGAAGTAGTAGAACATCCTGCAAATAACAAGCAGCGCATGATTACATAACTTGGCTGAAAATCTCCGTGCATAAGCATCAAGCCTTCATTAATTTACTGCATCAGGCATAATAACGATAAAAAAAAATACATGCAGCTCTGAATTACCTTGCAGCTTTAGTATGGGAAAGGCGGTAGTACCCAGCATAATGGCCAAACTCTTGAACAGAAGGCCCTGGGTTACCAAGAAGATGGAATTGGAATTGTTTCTCAACAATACTTGGAGAAGAAGTGCCTAAAAGTTCATTATCATCGAAGGCAGGTACGTTGATGGCATGCTTAGGGAACAAATTAAGCCCTCTTATCTGCGTTTCTGCTTGTAGTCTTGGCAGGAAGCTGGCAGACAAGTCAAGCTGGCCCTTGGGATATCTAGCATATGAGAATTGTGAAGTGATGAGGAGAAAAAGAAAAAAATTAAAAAACATGTAAGAATAAGTCGATGCCATGGCTAACGAGAACAATAGAACATGAATGAATTTGGCATCAAACCATGAGGATTTAAATAGTTAATTCGGACCAAACTACAAAGGGTTTGTGTGTGAAAGACCAGAGAGTTAGTGTCATAATTTTTTGCCCATTTTCTAGTTATATTAATAGAATCTTGTATTGTTGGCACGCCTCCTCTTTTTTCTATTATTTTCTTCTTTCGTTTTCCCCTTCCCTTTTCTCGAAGCATCAATTGTATATCTTATGGGATAAGTCCATGGAATGTATCAGAGAAATATGAAGTCATTAATGATGCAATTTTATCATTCAGAATTTATGGGATATGTACATGTTAATTCAAGCTGTAATATATATATATGTTGTGGCTCGCAGTACATGAACTAATTTTAGTAATTAATTATAGTAATGGGATTCAACGCATCAATGAGTTAAACCTTTTTGACTCCCATGTGCTCTATTGCATTTATAATAATTAATCTTAATACGATAATTCATATACCAAATTCGTGTATAATAACGTATCTTATAATACCATATTTTAGTTGAAGCGATCGGTTATCTTGAATCCAGTTTGTCTGTTATTCAATTTTCAGTGTTAATATATTAAAGTGAATTGGTTAAACAATCAGCTCAAGATACATATTCAAATACATATTAAATAGAATATACTTTCTTGTGCTTGGTCGGTCCACACTGATTAATGGCATATGCTAATTGTCACATATATCAATACAGAAAGCATAGTTATAAAATCTTGTTTTAAGTATGGATCTATGATCGGGTCGGGATCTTGAGTTGAGAGGGTAAATTTAAATTAACTAAAAAAAATTATTTTTTTTATTCTGTATTATTATGCCTTTCTAGTTTTTTTTCTATTTGAAGATAATGGTTTTTTTTTTGTTTTTTTTGTTTGGAATTATTAGGGTTTTCTAATTTTTTTCTATATAAGATATTGTAATAGTATTTTAGCACTATTAATAAAATTAGATATTTTGAAAATCTTCTATTGATTTTGGTTTTCTTGATATTTAAGATTTTGACTTGTAACAAATTCGATTATTCTTCACTCCCATGTAGAGTTTTAAGTAGGTTACATGTGAAATCGGATGTGTTTCACAGGTAGAGTTTGTGAAAATATATGGCTTGCAATCGCATGCCTTACCTTGAAAGGTAAGCCACATCTCTAGTGGTTTATCTAGATCGTGTCTGTCAGCCCACCTAAGAATGCATGTCTTAACCTTAAAATGTCTGCTTATCTTCATCATGCCAAAAACAGAATAAAGCAAGGAAGTTATTGCCCTTATTCCCAGGAGCATGTTGTATCTCAAGCAATTGTTCCTTTTGCGGTTAAGTTGCTTTACTAAAAAGAAAGCGGGGTTGGTTGCAGAAGAGTGGTGGTGAGAGGAGCTAGAGGGATTATCTTGCGTGCAAGATATCATCAGTAACCTGGAAAGTTAATGAATTAAGTTGGGTGTCATGGTCATGGTCTCTGCAGAAGGCAACGAGCATCTATACAGAAAGTAATGAAAAGCATCAGACTTCATGGTCATGGCCTCTGCACAAGGCAACAAGCATCAATCTATACAGAAAGTAGAAAAGCATTAGACTTCACTCAACGTCCAAGATTTTATCTTTTTTATAAGGACAGTGTTGTGACCTGAAATGAGTCAGGAATGACATCTTCTGATGGAGTTTTGAACATATTTTAATACCAATATATATGCTTAACTTTAAAGACAAGACAGATATGTAAAGAGTCTATAAGAGCATGGAGTCAAGTGATTCAAGCCCCTCTTTCAGACGGATGAGCTCCATCTTTTATATTCAATCAATTGATGGTATATGAGTTCTGCAGTTTACAGATGGCTGCGGCCTAAATTCCATTACAAAATAGTGTAGATGTGAAAATTTGACAAACCTTACCCATTTATAATCATTTGAGGCAGCATGAGATTCTGCGGCTTTCAAGAATATAATTGCATTACTTTTTAAAATATTTTATTTGGAAAGCATTTAAATAATATTTTTTTATTTTAAAAAAATTATATTTAATATCAAAATATAACAACAATCCAAAAACATAAAAAAAAAATCAATTTTAAAATAAAAATTCCAAATGGCCCCTCCACTGAGAAAAGCAGTCTGCTGATGACTAAAAAACTTCGGAACCATGCGTGTAACGACAAAAATATTAGATAAAATATTAGATAATGTCCTCAGCAAACAAAGGTGACGAAAACGAAAGGTAGTTGTGCGGATTAGGTAACAAAAGGTTCTTTGCTTTCTTATGTAATTTCTGGGAGTGACTTTGC